TGAGATCTTTTTACTTATTATCTTCAGAGTGACGTACTGTTCGCTTATCTGTAACCCCTTCCTCTCTGGGTCCTGAGCTAGAAATGCTGGTACCATTCCCCCATGCTGGCTAGTCAAGAGTAACAGAGAGCCTTAGAACAAAAGAGGAAAGGAGACGGATGGCACCATGAGCCCAGAAGAAGAAGCAGTGGTACTGCAATGGCAAGAGAAGCAATTCAGTAATGCCATTTTATAATAGGTGGGCTTATCTGTAACCCCTTCCTCTCTGGGTCCTGAGCTAGAAATGCTGGTACCATTCCCCCATGCTGGCTAGTCAAGAGTAACAGAGAGCCTTAGAACAAAAGAGGAAAGGAGACGGATGGCACCATGAGCCCAGAAGAAGAAGCAGTGGTACTGCAATGGCAAGAGAAGCAATTCAGTAATGCCATTTTATAATAGGTGGATAAGAAACACGCCGATTCAGTAATGCCATTTTATAATAGGTGGATAAGAATATCGGAAAGAAATAAAGTCTTAAATATGTCACTATCAGCTGTTTTCCCCCTATATTCTTCTATTATTTGGCTGAGAGTTGGGGTCATGGATTAAATCAAGAGGGAATCCAAAGCATAGATTTCTTGCATAATTTTCACTCTTGCTCATTAAAGACTTCCTTTGGTGATTATGGAGTACAATTGACTTTTTCACATTGTAGACGAGACATGCACACCCTGAAGTTGCCTTTAATCAGCAGGGAGTTGCCTTGAATCTGTGGCAATTTGCTACTGCTGCTGACATCATCGCTATTATGCACCAGGAGCTGTGCAACAGGATTTCAGCCATTATGTTCCTATTTGAATAACAGTTTATGGGAGCCTAATAAACCTTTTCAACACGTGAATGGTACTGAGTAGAAGGAATAGTTTACTTCTGCTCCCTCCATTCACACTTGTTGAAAAACATCCTAGACAGTAGTTTTGTTTTAGGGCGACAAGTGGTTAATTGATGGGGAAAAAAGAGTCAGTTTCTTTGCTTTTTTGTGTGGTGTTACATCGTGAATAGTAGTGAGCACTAGAGGATATCCAGTAGACCATCTTGACTGCTGCCCTTTGGTGTTGTCAACATTCCGGCTGTTCTTTGCTGTGTAAAGCTTGACATCCTTTTTTCCTGCTGGCAACGTGGGCATGATATCGTGCAGCAATATTGGACCATTTCTTGGCTTTTTGAATTATGCATATAGAAGAACAATATCCCACATTCATATGCCAGTGGTGTTTTGAAGAATTGATTTTTTTCCCCCTCAGTAAATGGCTGTCCCTTTTAAAAAACAATGGCTGGTATCATGTTCAACATTTAGGCATAGGAATGAAGTTCAAGTTATGGAAGGTCCTGCAGTGATCTAATGAAATGTTGGGGGGGGGCACAAGGCACATATCCAGCATCTTCTCAGATTGGTGTGATAGCTTCTGCAGCTGGAGTTTCACTCATGTACATATTGAATAGGACACTGTCTCATATCTTGAGGGTGATCATGCTCACATTCTAACAATGCAGACTAGAGATGGACACAAAGTGTTCCCCTCCTCTGCCTCCTCAGCTGATCCAGACACTCATCAAGCCCAGGTTGTGTGTCTTTTTCCACCTCCTCAGCTAATCTCCCAGTCACGAGCTAGACGACAAAAATGTTGTGGCGTCTCAAAGACTAACTACAGTATTTTAATGTGAGCTTTTGTGGACAAGTCCTCTTCCTCAGACTGAAAGAAAGCTTTCAATTTTAAACAATGGCTGGTCTCAGACAGAAGCAGTGGCCTTGTTTCACAAAAGCTCACATTAAAAAATAGCACTTAGTTTTAAGGTGCCATAATGTTTTTGTCTTCTTTATTTTTTTACTTTTCTTTTGCTTTGGCCTGATAGGACTGTAGAAAAGTTTTCTTCTCCAGAACTAGATATAACCCTTATTGACTGTATTTTTATAATATTTATCTGTTTTCCCCAGGTAACCAACCCAGGAGTTAGCAGTCATGTAAAAGCTGATGACCACTTAACATATGAACTCACCTTTCTTTTTCTAAGGCCTGGATGAGAACATTATCAGAATTTATTGCTCTCTTAGTAGATTCTGTATAGCATTGTATGTGGGCATTGATTTTTTGGGGAGAAGATATGCTGTAGGTAATTTGCTCCTAGGATAGCAGGCTGTATGTAGCAGTGTCTGAATTCATTGAACATCTTTTCTTTATGACAAAATGTGCAGGTACTTAAAATTACAAGAAGAGTGATTGCAAACATAGTAGAGAGAGAATGCCTCCCTAAAAATTCTGGGGGGCTATGAGAAATAAAAGAAAGAGATTTTATATTTTTGTTTCAGTTAAGGTATTAATTCCAGTGCTTCAGCCCAGCTAATATTAAGAATAAATGACCTATGTTGGCTTGGACTTCATTATCATTGTATTTAGTCTTTGGTTTGCCTACTTATGTTGGGTGGCACCAGGGGGGGGGAGAGATGTAGAAAGAAAGAACCAGCTGCCTCTAAGAAGAGTGATTGCAAAAATAGTAGAGAGAGAATACCTCCCTAAAAATTCTGGGGGGCTATGGGAAATAATAGAAAGAGAGTTTATATTTTTGTTTCTATTAATGTATTAATTCCAGTGCTTCAGCCCGGCTACATAGGCATCCTTCAGTCTCAAGAGACTATGGTAACATGCTCTGAATCGAGGAGTGTCCTCTCCAGAGCATGAAGCCCGGGTAAGGTAATATGGAGGATAGACTGTTACCCAAGCAGCAGATCCCCCCTCTCCACATTGCTGAAATGATCCAATGGAAAGGCAAGAGCCAATACAACTGGTTCTAGCAATGGCGCAGGAGTTGGCAGAACGACACATGATGCCTTCGGGACTCCCAGCTCCGGATTTTGCCTCGAGGTTAACTCCTGAAGCCTTTTCCATGAGTGGATGTAGCCACAGGGCAGTGGAGGTTTGAAATCAGAGTTTTCCTTCTCCTAGACGGGCTGCCTTCCATGGCTGACGAGCCCCACCTACCCGGCCTGCTCTTTAATACTGCAAAAGTATGATCCGATCCTTAAAAATGTCCTGACTCCCCGGCTTATGCAAATCTAATTGGCTTTCCTATTTACCATATTAAGGTCAGATACAAAATTTGAGAATTTCGCACGCCGTTAGGCGCGCGGTCCTGGAACACGCTCTTTTAAAGCAGGAAGTCTCACCCCTAGGCCCCACCCCCAGGCCATGTGGCCAGGAGACAAAAAGAAAGCCCAGGAAAAATAAAACTCAGCAAGGCATCCATGCAAACAGACCTGGCCTTCTCCCTCAGCCCAGCTTTCAGGGAAAAGGGTCCTGGGTCCTGAGTCCTGGGACACGCTCTTTTAAAGCAGGAAGTCTCACCCCTAGGCCCCACCCCCAGGCCATGTGGCCAGGAGACAAAAATGAGAACATTATCAGAATTTATTGCTCTCTTAGTAGATTCTGTATAGCATTGTATGTGGGCATTGATTTTTTGGGGAGAAGATATGCTGTACGGAATTTGCTCCTAGGACAGCAGGCTGTATGTAGAAGTGTCTCAATTCATTGAACATCTTTTCTTTATGACAAAATGTGCAGGTACTTAAAATTACAAGAAGAGTGATTGCAAACATAGTAGAGAGAGAATGCCTCCCTAAAAATTCTGGGGGGCTATGAGAAATAAAAGAAAGAGATTTTATATTTTTGTTTCAGTTAAGGTATTAATTCCAGTGCTTCAGCCCAGCTAATATTAAGAATAAATGACCTATGTTGGCTTGGACTTCATTATCATTGTATTTAGTCTTTGGTTTGCCTACTTATGTTGGGTGGCACCAGGGGGGGGGAGAGATGTAGAAAGAAAGAACCAGCTGCCTCTTAAAATGGTTGGAATCCCAGGAAAGTGTAACTCCCAGTCACACAGAGAGGTGGGTTAACTTGAAAGTCACTTAATAGGCTCTGCATTCAAATTGGCAGAACCAAGATGAATGTAGGAAAATGGAGGTTTTTGCATTGACACAGTCCAGACACAGTGTGGAAAACAGCACACAACTTCACACCTATGTCAGTGTACCCTATGTCCCTCAACACATACCATGGAAGACTTGAGGTTGACTGCCCAAAATATTCTTGATGTTGCCTGTTACTAGGCGACAATTGTTTGACACCGAAGCTTTTCAATTTTATTTTTCTAGACCAGTCTGTATGTCATGTGTGTTTATGTACAGGATGCTACCTAATTTTATATTGCCTTCTATTAATTGTATGATCATGCTTTTGATAGGAAGGAAGGAAGATTTTCCTACGCTCAGGAAAGTCAGTAAAAGACTGCAGCTTAAGTCCCATAGAAACCAATTCTTATAATCTTAGGGTGTGAGCACATGGGGTAATAGATAATAGATGGAAAGCTGAAACATAGAACAGAAATTCTCCTGTTCAAATATAGGCACTGGGTAAGCTGGACCTTAAAAGCTGAAATGCACCTTGATTACAGATAAAGAGAAGGAAAAAAGCCAGACTTGTGGGGGCGGGGGAGAAAGGTGGGAAGGGCTGGAGGCATCGTATGCCAAGGATCAGAAGTGGATTGTAATCCACAAAAACTCACACTGAAATGGAACGCTTAATCTTTACAATGCCACTACACTTTCTGCTTTTAGTTTTATTTTATTTCTGTTATATGCAATGTAAATAAGGTACTGTATTTTTTGCACCATAAGACTCACTTTTTCCCCACAAAACAGGGGTATGGAAAGTCTGTGCGTCTTATGGAGCTAAGAAAACAGATTCACTGAAATGGAACGTTTAATCTTTACAATGCCACTACACTTTCTGCTTTTAGTTTTATTTTATTTTTGTTATATGCAGTGTAAATAAGGTATCTTTCTTAAACTCTGTACAGAGGATGCTAATATTAAAAATAAATGACCTATGTTGGCCATGGGGGGGGGGAGATGTAGAAAGAAAGAACCAGCTGCCTCTATGATGTCTGATAAAAGCAATACATACGTAAGACTCGAACGCCATGCTTCAGGGCTTGTACACGGCCTGGCTCCATGGACATGCTGAGCATGGTCTGTTGCCCTCCGATAGTGCACACCTGGTTTTCTTGTGCGGCTTGCTTGAACATGATGATGAGCTGGTTGGCGATGATGGTGTTCAGGACAGAGATAACGACCATTGGGAAAATGAAAGAAATGAACGCATTGACCTGGGCGAGAAAGGAAAAGAGGGGATAAGGATTTAATTTAACAGGTAGTTAAATTAAAGTCTGGCAATGAAATTCTTTTTTCTTTTGTAGGCATTTGGAAGTTGGGCAATAAAATCTGCCAAGCACCAGTGCTTGATATCAGCGGTTCCCAACTTTGAGTCCCAGACATTCTTGGACTAAAACTCCCAGAAGCCTTCACCACTAACTAGCTCTGCTGGCCAGGATTTCTGGGAGTTGTAGTCCAAGAACATCTGCGTCCCCAAAATTGGGAACCACTGCTCTGTAACATACCAAGACCTGGATCTAATTGGAAGTCCAAATAAGGTAGCCCAATTGAATCAATGGGATTTACATAAGTAATGACCTATCGTTCAGCAATTGAATCAATGGATGTACTATGCTTGCAGTTTACAAATAGAGCAGTAATTTCAACAGGTTGTCAGAGAAAAACAAATGCTGCTTTCCACTCTTCATGTACTAAAGGAAGTCTTCTGAAATGCAGCTCAGTATAAATGTCTCCACTGCCATGTACAAGTGACATGATTTTTTTTTAAAAGGGGGGGGTGAGGTTTAAAACTGTGAAGATGAGACACAGCACAAAGGATGATAATAAAATTATAACTTTAAAAGGATGAGAAATTTAAAAGAAAATCTGCAATCTCAGAACTGCAGAGCTGGAAAGCTCTTTTTGCCTTGCCTTGGATCAGAATCAATCTCAGGATCAGTTTCTGTTGTCTTTGTGTACCTTCTGGTGCCACAGATCCCTGGCAGGACCTAGCACCCCAGGAACATCTGCTCAAGCCATAAAAGAGGCAGTTGACATTCTATGATAATTTCAGAATAACTGGTAACCAGCCAGCCAGCCAACCAGCCAACCAGCCAGCCAGCCAGCCAGGCAGCCAGCCAGGCAGCCAGGCAGCCAGGCAGCCAACCAACCAACCAACCAACCAACCAACCAACCAACCAACCAAACCAACCAACCAGCCAGGCAGCCAGGCAGCCAGGCAGCCAGGCAGCCAGGCAGCCAACCAACCAACCAACCAACCAACCAACCAACCAACCAACCAACCAACCAACCAACCAACCAACCAACCAACCAACCAACTCAAGCTATGTTTCCCAACCAAGGAAGACACTGCATTAAAAATGAACCATTTTCATGGCCAAAATCCAGTGGCAAATTTTACACCGACATAAGGGTGGTGATGTCTGCCACTTATTAAACTGCCACTTGTTAAAGATTTCCTGCTTCAGTCCCAGGGTTTGCACAATGCACACACAAGGAGACTGCATGTGAGTCATGCGAGCCTGGGGTTTGAAGCAGAAACTCTTTAATTTGCTGCAGTGTTCCACAGCCAACAATGTCATCTTCCTTTGTTGTTATGTATCATCAAGTCAGCAGTGACTTATGACCGCCCTATTAGGATTTTCAAGATAGGTGAGGTATTTAAGGAGTGGTTTTACGAGTTCCACACTCAAAGTAGATTTCCATGGCAGAGCTGTGGAATCGAACCCAGGTATCCTAAGTCATAATCTTTTACACCACACTGGGTATGCCATCTGTCTTACACTAGCACAATTTGTGGAACAAGATTTTGACCACTGTGCCAAAACAGCCTTCTCCACCACTGCCTCTGTATTCATTGGGCTGTGCCTCCCCATCATCTATATTAGCTGAGGGATGAGGGGAAGTGTTCTTCTCCCCAGATTGTGGAAGGCTGTGCAGAAAGATTTCCAGCAAAAGCTTCCCCCTGCACCTTATGAGTAGATTGATGCAGTATCTGTGCTCTTTCTGATGAAAAAACTGCATCAAGAGCATCACAAGTTATTCTCTGGATTTTTAAAAAAAATTTCAGCAAGAATGGTGGCTGTAGAAAAGAAGGGTGCGATTCTCCCTCTTCTTCTTTAAAGGAGTGCCTGATCAAAGTACGGAAATTGGCAGAAACATCAAAACTCCCAGTAGACAGAGCTTTCAGACTTCTTGGATTATCATCTGAAGAGAAAATATCATTTGTAGCTAGACTAGTGTAAAAGCCTCTCTGTACTGTAAATATTCTTTGATATATTTCTGACTGTTTTTCATATTTGAGAACAGAGGAAAAGAAAGAAAAAATATCTGACAAATTAGATTCTTTTGCACAAAAGCATCTGTGCCACAAAATCTGGTTAATTTTAGCATTGTTGGGCTCGCTGCTCGAGATTAACAGGGAAATCTTAGAGTCTGTCCACAGTAACATATAGAAATGATATATGGATCACTGAGGGCAAGGTCTGGATTGAAAAAAAGGACCTCGTCTGCAAGTGTTTCTAACTAGAACAACCCAACCTTCCCTTTAAAGAGCTGTCCCACACCTCTGTAGACCAGCTGTAGGGAATTTATTCTTTTTAGCATGCTCGTTAGCTGGGAGATAACCATCTCCAACAGCTGCAGAGTCCTAGGAAGAGCTTGAGAGAGGAAGTTGGGGGGAAGACACAAAACAGAATAGCAATGATAAAGGGAAAGAGGAGTGATGTAAAACATTTTTTCCTCTGCAGACGATCAGAGGAAGCACTTAATTAATGGCTGATGGAGCTACAAGGGGTCATTTGTTGTTTGGATGGAAGGAGCATGCCAAATGGCACATGGCTTCTCCCTACTCCCCACCTCAACTGACCTTTTGTAACTACACCCAAAACGGCCAATCTGAACATTAGATGCATCTAGAAAGGAATAAGCCCTCATGAAGAATGGAGAATGTACTCCAAAGAAGTGACTTCTCCTAGCTTTGGAAAGCCAAGGAAGGACTTCTCCCGGGGCACCACACTTGGCAAATGGCATGGTGCCTGAAATGTCACCTTCTCTAATAAGAGAGACAACTGGGATGAAAATGGCAATCTCTATCTGCCAAAAGCAAGCGATCCAAACAACAGAAGTCTGAGTGTTCTGCTAAATGATGATTTCTCAAAACTTTGCAGTCTCCTTCCTCCATCCCATTTTATTGACCTCTGTGTCTCCTGTGTTAATTTAAACAAGCCTTTGATCTTGTTATTTAAGTTGCCATCAGAATGGCTTTGGGGTTATTTTTTTTGTGTGTGTGACACAAGGTGGCCCTTTACAACGTCAATACTTTCTGATTTGTGCTGCTTCATTCATCTTTTTTAGGAGCATCGTGACAGCCTGGACTCTCCATCAGCCCAGTTTTATTTCATTGCCCCCACGAAGCTATCTTTTTTGTGAACATTTTTTAAAAAAGATAGATTTCTATGGCAATAATCCAATTAGCCAGTAACCTCTGCCCCATCCCCTGTGGATTAGAATTGATTGGACTAGCAAATCTGAGTTACAGTGTTTTCACATCCAATGCATCTGTTTTTCAATAAACCAAAAGGGGATGATATTAACCTGTGCTTGAATCTAATAGAAGGCACCACAAAGATCAAAGAAAATCTCAGACCTGTTGCTGTTTGGCTCACAGCTCTCTCCTATCTGCCAGTCCTTTAAGTAGCTCAGAAACCAGCTTAACTTATTTAACATCAAAGGAACCTGGAAATAGCAGTTTTGATGAGTAGCTGAGATCCTAGTGCACCGCGTCTTCTCCACTCCAAAGAATAATGACTTCCACGTTTCCTGGCTTGCACGCAGAGAGGTCTAAAAAGGATCTGGAGCAGGTTTGTAGGGCAGATATGGCCCTACTTCAGAAGAGCAATCTCGGCTGCAAATAACTTCACGCGAAAGGAAATGATAAGGAGAAAAATGTCAGGTTTCCCAGCAGTGTGTTCAACAGACTCGCCTTTGTGATCTTTACTCTCTTCCCTTTCCATTCCTTCGTGTAGCCCTGAAGGTGTCTCGCTCCCCTAACTCCCATGGATTGTTCATCGGAGTGACCATCAACAAGAAACATCACGGAGTCTGCTGGTCCAAGACATTTTGCTGACTGATGTGAGCAGGCAAATGGCACACTTTTCTAGAGATATGAATGTTGGGCCCTCTTTTCTTTGCCTGCTCGGATGAAGAACGGCAACCTTTTGCTCCGTGCTGATGAGGAAGTTGAAGATGTTTCTGACCATCTCAACAGAGCCTTTCCTTTGGCAAAAATGATGCTTGGCACAAAATGTTTCACAATTGTGTTCTTCTCACAATCATCCATATTGCCCAGAACTAGATGACTTCAGTTACAAATTCAAAGAAATAAATGGGTTTCTTGTACCTGATCTGTTCTAACAGTCCTTCTGTGCTTTATATGTGTTTTGCTGCCTTTAGTAGGTATGGTTAGTAGGGACCTTTCTCGCTGGGGAAAGTGTCCATCACTATCCATCACTAACTAATCATTCTTTCCCTGTCTCTGAATTCAAAAGAGAACCCCACGTCTCTGCTCTGTTCCCCCCCCTCTGTAGTCTGTTGGAAGTGGTTAATCTGTTGAGATCTGTTGCTGAAAACCAATCAGCCATGTTTGTTTTCAGTCTGCTGTTTGATCTGTTCAATTGTAAGCAATGTTGCCATAAGTTTTTGCAGGTTTTGATCCACTGAATGACCCAGGTGTGTGTCCATCGGGGCTGCGCATGAACAGCTGGTTTGTTTACTTCCTGTTTCAGATGAAGCCCCTCCCCTCTGGATGTGCACAGGTTGAGGCTCCCACATAGTGGGAACAAAAATTAGAAGGAACGTTGACTATAAGTAATAGAACCCTTTTATTCTTTTTCCTAAAAATGTCTCAGAGTGAGTTATTGAGACTGGAAGTGCCAGTTGATGAGAAAAAGGAATGGACTAGTCTGGGGAACCTGAAGCTAATTCTGTTCTGTGAAACTTTGCACTTCTGCTGCACAGCTGAGGGAATGTAAACAAAGATTCAACATTTTGCAACAGTTTATACATGGTTACTTCAGAGGGGGATGGAGATGACTTCCAGCTAACCCTTCTTCTGGATTAGTCTCTATTAGCAGGCATTTACACATTTTTTTAAAAAAAATCTGCTATGTAGATATACTGCAATTTGATCCACTGAATGACCCAGGTTTCGACC